ATAGGAAATATGATTACAGAATACAGTGAATTTTTAATTGTAAGAAATTATAGTAAAGGACACATTACCATTAATCTCTCAGAATGTTCCTGCTAGCATTGAATGCACTTGTGCTATCAGTTCTGCACTTCCTGAAGCAGTTTGGGAAGTCTTCTTTCGTGACTGTCTTTAGTTCAGTATTGTGGCTGCTTTGGTATCCTGGAAAACCTTCAAAATATTTGCCCTTCGTGGTTATTTTGATTTCAAAGAAGCGCCAATGCCACTTGGTACCGAATCGCTGCCGAGTAAGGCGGAGGCGCTGTGCTGCTGGGCACACGTGGTACCGAATCGCTGCCCAATAAGGCGGGCCTGCCTTTTCATTGCCTGCCTTTTCATTGCATTGCACTCACATTCACAGCCTTTAATCGCACCTTGTAAAGATTTTCACAAAAATGAGCTTCCAGATCTGCTTCTAAAAGTGGCAAAAAAAAAAGTGATTTCTGCTGGTCATTTGAAAGGAGTAGTTAGTGCTTTTTTTTTTTTTTTTTCTTTTTCTATTTTCTTTTTAATTTCTTAAAACTTTTTTGTTATTGTTGTATTTTAACCAATTTTGCACCTTTATGTCTGGTAACCTAAACAACTAATTTGAAGATCACATCATGCAATACGGCAATCATTGTTGAGTTCCTTTTAACTTTATTTAGTGAAATTTTGTATCTTTTCTAACGCCTTTTTTTTTTTTTAACTGTTCTGTATTTTTAAAAAGTGGAGAAGATGATGAGTAAGTGTGAAGTGAGGGGCAGTATTTTGAGGGGGACTAATGACAATGTGTCTTTGACTGTAATTTTAAAAAGTTTGTGTATATGCCACATTTTTTATTAGCCCTACTATATCACATGCTGCGGTTTTCTTGTAGCAGTACCAAGAGATAGGTGAAGTTAGCGTAAAGTATAAAACCTGCTCTTTGCAAAAGCTGAGACTTTGTGCTTCTTTATCCTTTCATTTCTCTTTTGAAGAAACTATGAAGTAGAACAGTAGAATGAACATGATGTTTTGGAATCATTTAAACCATCGGCCATGATCACTTTGGGAACCATATAATAGTTTCTCCACCTCAGCTTCTTTCCTCTAAAAGCCCTTCCCTGCAGGTATCCTGAGCCCAAACAATATGTGAAAAGTGCTGTGCTTAATATTAAGCCTGGCCACCCTAGATTTTAAGGTCAGTTCCCTTTTCTTCATATATATATATATATATATATATATATATATATATATATATATATATAACACAGGGTCTCACTACACAGATTGGATTCATAGTGGTCCTCCTGTTTTCAGCCTCCCAAGTGCTGGGACTATAGGCACCAAGCCCAGTCTCAATCACCCTCTCAGTGCGCCCCACGGGCAGGGCTGGCACAGCACATCAGGGATTGAACCTGGGTCCCTGTGCCTGCCTAAGCAGGTGCTTTAATCTGCTGAGCTATCTGGCTGTCCCTTTTTCTACTTTTCTAGCACCTTCAAGTAACAAAAAGGCTTGATCTACAAAAAAATCTCTTCTTGCCTCAGAGCCTGGGTCAGTTTTCTTTTTTATTTTTCCAAATTGAAGTATTCTGTATGTGGGCAACTTGGTACCAGCGAATCAAGTGGCCTGTGTGAATGTACTCTCCGTAGCATTCCTGACTGCATTACACACTCTTATCTATTGTGAAGAGAGGACAGGAAATATGATTTTTTTAATTAACCTCCCAAATTCTGCCACATCCTCACACTAACACGTATGTACACACGTATGTTCCTACAGAGACCTAAAGATAGGAAGAACTTACTAGGTCTATTGCCAGCTGGTCTGTCTAGAGAATTAACGGGATACTTTATTTGTTAAACAGTAGGCCTGATACTAAGTTACAGGCATAGAAATGAGATAATAAACACACAGTCAGCCTAGTTTATTTTCCATGTGAGGAATGCATGTTCTTTGACTAGTCTAGGCTGGTAGTGGTATCAGTGCATTCAGTAGTCCCATTTGTGAACAAATACCAACTCAGTGTGATGCTGATGCTGGCTGCGACTCCTGCAGTGTGAGCTGGCAGTACCCACCTACATGTCATTCAGGGCAGGCACCTGCAGCACATCAGGTGCCTGTGTGTGAAGTCCCTCGGGGTTGCAAGACTAGCATTCGAAAAAAGGGTGACACGCCCCATTTCTTTATGCACACAATGCTATTAAGAAAATGCTTTAACAGTTTAATTTATTTATTTTTTTTTTGGCGGAACCGGGGATTGAACTCAGATCCTTTTGTTTGCCAGTCAAGCACTTATCCTACTGAGCCATCTCCCCGGCCCCTTTCTAACAATTTTAGAAGACTAGCAATATTGAGTAAGCATTGATGGAAAGTTTTTTCCCTACCCCAGTTTGCCTATATGTCTATAAAAAAATTCAGAGTTGGTGTACATCATTCATTTTCCCTTTTATTTCATAAAAATTTCTAATAATATGTGATACATACTGAACATATTCACTACACAGTATATCACATCTTGATCTTTTACTTTTCCTTCCTGTCTTGCTCCATCGTCAGATACCTCTTCTACGTACACAGAAATCCATCTGTTTTTGTCATCTTTTATTTTGCTTATTAAGTTATTTATACTTTAGGTTTCTCATATACCATAAAACATTCTTAGTATGGTGTCTGATTCTTGGTCACCTTTTGTGTGTGTGTGTGTGTGTGTTTAGTACAGGGTTTACAGGGTCTTACCATGTAGATCGGACTCAGTGTAATCCCAAATGCTGGGATTACAGGTGTGCATCACCACACCCAGTCTCAGTCACCATCTCAGTGCGCCCTGGGGGCGGGGACGGCACAGCATACTGGGGATTGAACTCCGGTCACTTTGCTTTGCCTAAGCAGGCGCTTTAGTCCACTGACCTATCTGGCCAGGCCTCTGACTCTTGGTCACTGTTCAGTGACTTTCATAATTATAAAATCACAAATTTTAGAATTACTTAGAAGTAATTGAAGTGAGCCAAAATCTTGCTATTTTGTAATGAATTTCATTCATGAAGAATTCAAGATTTAAGAAAATTGAGTTATATGCTCAAAATATTTTTTCTTAATTTCACTAAAATTCATCTAAGCATAGGCCTATAAATTAAGATATAGAATGATGATTATATAGTACTTATTTTGTTTTGTCTTTAATTTTCAGAAACAAGTAGAAAAACAGGTGATCCAGGACAAAAAGAGAAAGGTGAGATTGTCAAATAGCCTTTAAGATAGACGTGGAAAAAAATTTATACCATTCTAGAGTGATGTAATTTTTTTTATCATTAACTGAAACAATTTCTACTGGCTTTATTATTTCAATGATGTTATCAATAAATATTTATGAATATCCTAGCTAAACATTGTGTGCTGAGGCTCAGAGAGATTGTTGCGAATCCTGGCTTTGACATTGACTGTGTGTGCGTCTTTGGGAAGCGTACCGTACCTAGCTTTTGTGTCTTGCTTTCCGTTGTTATAGAGACAGTGAGCACCGACTGCAGAAGTCTGCATCTCCAAAGTAGCAATTAAATGGGAATTAAAGTTCTCTTAGTTCTTACTAAGGCAGTGTCTGGCACAAGGGCAACCCTTAGGAAAAAGTGCATATTATTTATTGTTAATATGTTGGCATCTGTGCTACATACTAGGGACTAAAGACACCTAAAACAGGGTATCCTTTTTAAGGAAATGTAGCAAAGACAGGCACATAAAGTTGCATCCACATTAAAAAAAAAATCTTTACCCTCTAAAATTTATTACAAAACCACCACAATAAATGTAATAACTCGTAGTATCTTACTTCAACTTTTGTAGAGGTTCTTTATTCAGAGTGAGAAACTATTTACATTAAAAAGTTTTACACATGGTCACAGAAGAGTGATTACATTTTTATCAAGCATCTGCTAACAAAATTTTTCAGTGATTAAACATACTTATCTTTCAGCTACACCTTTCATTTGTAGTAATGAAAGCACCACCTAACTTGAGAAGGTACCTCAGACGCTGTACAAGAGACCTCACTTGGGGTGCGGGTAAATGCTTGGTGAATATGTGCAGTTGTTGGCGCCTGACTGTAACTTCAGTGCCAGGAAATTGAGAATGAGTCATCTTATTCATGCATTTTTTCCCCGATGAACAGTTTTTAATTTTGTGAAATAATACCAAGATACAGTTCAAGATACAGCAGTTCTTACTGTAACTAGGACTTCCTGTTCTCAAGACACGCTCACCGACTTATTTTTAGCTGTTTCTTTCTATTACTTCCCTATGTGTCTCTAAATAACTTGTTAATTCTGCAGTTTCTCTATTTAATTTTGGAAAGTGTTGATGACTGTGTTGTATCGATGACTGAGACTGGAGTGATTCTCACACTCACGCAAGCTTTCTGCTGTCATTGTCTTGGTCTTCCAGTACGATCATCACCTACCCACAGCAGACCAGGTAACGATAAACACTAGGGAGACATGACAAAGCTTGTGGCACATACCCGTGGTAGCAACCATGATGGAGTGGATGATTCTTGGTACTTGAGACACTCCGGGCACCTGGCTTGCCAGGTGCATGGTCTTGGGGACTCTCTTCTGCTGTCCCCTGGTGGCTTCTTCTCGGGTAATTTCAATAGATGCTTCTCCTCTCCCTGACTTAAAACAGTGGAGGCCACAGAACATGGACCTTGGACTGTTAAGTCTACGTGTATGCGTTCCCTTCCTGATCCCATGCTTTCCCATGGCTTTAAATTCTTCTGTACCCCAAAGTTTACCAGATCTACCTGCAGCCTGGGCCTCTCTCCATACTGGTGTGTCCATCCAGCTCTCTACCTGCTGCCCTCTGATGTTCTCAACTGGGTATATAATAATCACTTCAAACCAGTGTAAAACTTACCTTATGCCCTTAACACACACTACTCCGGTAAAGCTTCTCCTTCACAAATTCCATCAGCTTTCCCTTTAGGACCCAGGGTCCATCCGCTTGCTGTTGCTTTCACCTGTTACCACTAGGTCTAAGGCATGAGTGTGTCTAGCCAGGATTATTCCAATAGCCTGGTAACTGATCTTCTGGCTTCCAGCTCTATAGCTCTATATTCTTTCTCAGTACAGTAGCTGTAATGACTGTAAAGCTGTCTTTTTGAGACAGGGTTTCACTGTGCAGTGTAGGCTGGCCTTTAACTTGTTTTCTAGTTCAGGCTCGCCTGGAACTCATAGCAGTCCTCCTGCTTCAGTCTCCCAAGTGCTGGAATTACAGGCATGTGCCCAGCACCACACTTGGCTTGTGTCTTGTTGTGCAGGCCGGATTGCTCCAGCTGCTGGCCATCTTCCTTGCAGCAGAACCCTCTGCAGCAGTTTATCTTCTTAGTCAAGCTCCTCTTTTCTCATTTTCTTCCATTGGTTTCCTTTCTAACCTTGTGCTGTCTATCTCTCTGCTTGGTTCCCTGGACAGCAGCTGTTCTGGTTTCCATGTCAAGCACACCCAGGCCTCAGGACTTTTGCACTGGCTGCACCCTTTCAGGTGGAAGGCTTTCCACCCCAGCTATCCACGTGGCTTGTTCTGTTAATCTCTGCTCAGCTGGCTGCCTCTAAAGAAGCTTTCCCTGCCTCTGACCTTATTTAGGAATGTACTCTCCTTACACTCGTGTCCTGGGTCCTTGCTCTAGTTTCTCCTTTGCACTGTTGTCACTGTGTGATATATTTGGTAGTTGAATTCTGTAGTGTACATTGTCTGAAAACCCCTTGGAATGTAGTTTCTGTGAATTCACATTTGTGATTGTTTTGCTCTCCTGAGCCTGGCACCATGCTTCACACCCCTCAGGCACTCTGTAAATATTTGCTGGATGAACTTGTAGTAATTTTAATTATTACACATTACTATCAAATAACATCAAAGGTTTTATACACCCCAAAGTGTAGGACTGAGGGCCACAACCCAGAGGGCTCTCCTGGAGTGAGCCGCAGGAGGTTTAAGAGTTGGGTGGGTTGTGCTAGGGCTAGGGCCTGTGCTGTTGTCCTCCCTGAGGATCGCCATGTGGTCCCCCACGGTTCTGTGTGTCTAAGCTTAGCACACAAGGCATCCCCGGCGCTGTGCTGCTGAGAGCCTAGAAATAACAAGGAATGAACATCAGTGTTTTGAAGCTTTTTAACCTGTGATTTCTTCATTTAGGAAGGGAGATACTGATTCATATGCCTTACAGGGATATGTCATAGCAGAAGGATTAAGATGAAAGTAGTATCTGTAACGGATAATTGCAGTCTGCTGTTATTACAGCTATCCAAATCGAATCAACTACTATTTTTCAAATACCTGATTTCAGGTTGTTTTAACTAGTAATTTTATTAGTTGACTTGAAAATCTAAAATACTATGCCAATTTTCTAATTTAGCTAAGACTTCTTTAAAAATCCATGTGATTATTATTATGAAAGGAATGCTATTTTTAGCCTGTACAGTGAGACACCTATATTTTAAGAATAAAAAAGCAGTTTTGAAGCAGAATTAAGTTAGCTTTATGAAACAATCATTGGTGTGAATCGCATCACTCAACTAGTTCACTGGAAGCCTTGGACCTTCCTCAGCATGGCTCCAGGGCAGAGGCGACTGCTGGGCAGATGAAGCTGCTCTCCTGCTCTAGGTTCAGGCAGATTCTAGGGAGTGACCCAAAAGAGGGAGAAAAGCAGTCTCTTCTCCTTTATTCGTGGTTGCCTGTCCTACATTGCTTGAAGAAATGAACCCTTTTAAGGAAAACCCTTGTTTTCTTAACAGCCCCTATCTTTACCTCCTTCCCATGTCTTCATGTATGGGGTTCTATGTGAGGTTCAAACCAACCCTGCAAACTACTCATTGCATGTTAATGCTGAAGGCTGCAATTCTCATGGCTTATTTTACCCCATCAGTAACCTCAGACCAGTTTAGTGGTACAAGAGAGACTTGGCTCCTTTCTGGCCATTGTGCCATCCTCAAACTGTAACCTCATGCTCCATAAGGACTGTTCAACCCAGACATTATTAGCCACATCCAGATAATAGGGAGTGTCACAGAAGGAACAGGCTTCCTAGAAGCCCTACATTTAGCTGACAGATTGTTTTCTTTTTTCTTTTTGGTCATTTTGAGACAGGGTCTTGCTATGCAATTCAGGCTGGCCTTGAACTCACTTTGTAGCTCAGGTTGGTCTTGAACTTTGAAAATCCTCCTGCCTCAGTCTCCCGAGTACTAGGATTACTAGTTAAGCCACAATGCTTAACTGACAGAATTTTGTTAATGCTAAAATTCAGTGTTCTACTTAGGAGGAAGGAAATACTGAATATTGAGGAAAAACAGTAGGCACTATTTTATCCCTTTCATTACCATGATATACCCAACTACTGTCTGTTGGGAGTTTGGCTGCTGTAATGCTGAAAAGGTCATTAGAATATACATATTTTAAGAACTATTCACTTGTCACTCACAGAAAAACACTCCAGTTCCTCATTCACTTAAATGTCTGCGTATCTGCTACATCGTAGGTGTTCTAGTCAGGAGAAGCCAGGTGGAAGCAAGACAGATGGGCACCTTGCTTGCAGTGGCTCTCGTCCCAGCCGAGGGCCTGCGGGGTGCAGGGAGCCGACGTTGCTGTCAGTGCCCCTGTCAGGAGGCAGCAGCAGCATGTGCTGCAGGCTGGGAGAGAAGGGTTGGGGGAGGCAGTGGAGGGAGGGTGGCCTCTGAGGCTTGTGGTACCCTCCAGGCAGTGGGCCAGGCAGGAGCAATGTGGGAACCTATGACAGTGTGCCTGCATGGGCTGCCCGTGTTCCCGAAAGCTCTGGAGGGTTCACCCATCACTGGGCTAGAGGCAGTACAGCAGAGAAACAGTCTGCCTGGTCCTCGGGAGAGAAGATGGCCTGAGAAGCTGTAGCACCTCAGCAAGCAGAGCGGCCACGACAGACAGTTAGAGCCAGAGGCCAGTTCGTGGCAGGGAGGGGCTGAGCATTTTCCTCCATGCTTGGGATGCCGCACCCAGCCTGGGAGGTCCTTGGGACAGTCGGTCCTTTCCCATTCTCTTGACTGATCAGCTTTTAAGCCATCAAATGCATTCTTCCTGAAGTGGGATGGAGAGAGGTAAGCCTGTACTTGTGGCTTGCTGCTCATGTAGGGCACTCTTGTGAGCCCAGCCCCAGCCCTGCGCGCACTGCACAGTGCTGAGCCAAGTTGCTGCCTCGCCGAACCTGCTGGCCCAGGTCAGCCT